ATTGCCAAGTAGTAGTCGAAGTAGTATCTAGCATGTCCGAATTGGCCACCGGAGCGAGTAGCATGCTACTTCAGATACTACTTCAGATACTAGACACGCCCACATTGTAGGTTGGTCTCGGTGCATCCTACGGGCATGCTACTGACCCAAAATGCACCGCGGGCTTCTTCTTCGTCCTCTTAAAAGTTGTAGAAGCGCATGTGATGCTAGCGCCACCAGCTGCTCTGCCTATTTAAATGTGTCGCGAACGCCGGCTGGCCACAGCAGCGCGCACCATGTCGGAGCAGCAGCAGCAGCAGGCGGGACAGCAGCAGTACAGATGTAAGTTTCATGTAACTTCACACACTGTCCTAAAAAATGTGCGGTTGTATCTCTTTGTCATGTCATGGTGTCATATTTGCCCAAGTAATCATTTTATGAGCAAATATGTGGCGACATCATGGAGGTAAAGCTCACTTATTCCATCATTAAACTGCACAGCTGCAGTACTACAGCCAGGCCCGCAGATGAAGGGCTTCAGTTACCACTGTCTGCACGGGCGCAGTACCTACTCTCTGCCTGCGGGGGTCGTCTTTCCCCACCGCTCGTCTAGTGTGTCCGAATTGGGCCAACGTTTTTAGTATGTAGGAGTAGGATCTAGCAGTAGCACGTAGCAGTAGCATGTAGTATCCGAGCGGGCAGTTCGGACGCAGCACGGGTCTCAGAGATCCACGCTGACTTCACAGACGCGGTCTTCGCCACTCTCCTGTTTTCGTGCGCCCGCTCATCCTCTCTCTCCTCCTCAGGCCGAGTTCATCTTCCAGAAGATTCTCCCTGAGGAGGATTTCTGTCCTCCTGCTCCGAACCCTGAAGACATCATCTACGACGGCGACAACCCCTCCCCCACCGCCACAGAGGGGGAGGCCGAGGAGGGAGAGGGGGAGACTAAAGAGGAGAAGGAGGTCCAGGAGCAGGAGGAGGTCCAGGAGGAGCAGAGCCTCCATCCTGAGGAGTAAACGCCAACACTCAAAGAGAAGCCAAACCTGCTGCAGTGCATTGTGGGTAACCGTTGCCTTGAGTTCTTGTTGAAATCTTGATTTTTATTTTTCTATCTTGTTTTCGTTTCTCGCTCTTCTTCGTCTGTATTTAAAGCGTTTCTTTCTGTCGAACATTAAAGCTTCGCCGTGACGACCACACGCTCTCAGACTGACCTCGTTCTTCACGTCCTCTTCCTGTCTCTAACCTTTACCGACAGCTGCAGGGACAGTTCTCCTTCAGGTCCTCAGATCTCACACTGAGCCTGTTGAAACCCTAAAGCAGCACGTCACCCTTATAAACAACCCCAGAGACGCCCAGCTGCATGATGGGAGATAAAGGTTAGCGCGCCCCTGCAGACTGAGAGCTGAATGTCAGAGAAACTGAGACGGTTTCAGGGGGACTCTGAGGGGTCACACCTGGATACTTTAAACCCACCAATCAGGTTTGAGCCTCTTCTGTTACTCTGTCAGTCAGACTCAGTGTCACTGCCTCCTGCTGGTCACCAGCGTGAACTGCACCTCCACTGAGCAGAGCCTGAACTCCACATCAGTTTTACACCTTCTTCTTTTCTAAGAGCTGAAGAGGTGAAATAAAATAACCTGTTAAATAAGAAAATTAACTCAATCTGAAATGATACATGTGCTGTTTATATAAGCAGAGAGCGCCTGTCAGTCAGGAGGCCTGAACAGCCTTCTGTGTAACTCCACCCACAAAAACCAGATCTACAACCCCCGGTAAAAATGATGGACTCACCGTCTGTGAGGATCTTCATTCAGTCGTTTAGTTTTGTAGAAAATCACAGACATGACACCAAACTAAAGTCGTTTCAAATGTTCATTTTCTGGCTCTAAAAATCACTAAAAGACGTCAAGAAAAATGACGTCTCCATGTGACACCGACGTGTCCGAACAGTGTTTCACAGCTACCTCTGTAAACCACCTCCCCATCACACCGCCTGCCGTCCAAGGTGCTACAGCAGCCCAGACCTTCATGATGGTGGGTACCTGTGACTGTGTTGTAGGTCATCTCCTGTGAATACTGTGATTTTTGTATAATATGAAAAAACAAAAGTTCAAGTATAGTTTGTCGCAGAATAGTATGATAATAAATTTAAATTTATTATTATTATTTATTATTAGGTACAAAAAATATCAAAGTATAGTGTAATAAAAATGTCATAGTATATTTTTTATAAAAAACTGCCAGAATATAGTAAAATAAAAAAGGTTGTCATAGTAGGATGATAAAAGTGTTATAGTCTAGCATGATTTAAATTACATATGTGATTTAAAAAAAACAAACGTCATAGTATATTATAAAAAAAATCCTTTTATGTATAAAAAAGTCAGTTTAGTACAATAAAAATTTGAGATTGTAGTCCAAAAATTTCATAGGATATGTTAAAAATTTTTACTTTTTTGAACAAACAAAATGTCATAGTATAGTATGATAAAAATGTCATCGTATGGTATAAAAAATGTTATAGTATGGTTAAAAAAAAAGGTCATAGCATAGTGTGACTAAAAAAGCCAAAATATAGGATGTGAAAGAAGTGATAGAATTGTATGATAGAAATGTCTTGGTATAGTATGAGAAAGATTTTATTTTCTAATAGAATAAATGTCATCTTACAGTATGATAAAAACTATCAGTATAGTATGATTAAAATGTCTATTTGTCGTTTGAAATGAATGTCATAGTATAGTAGGATAAAAAATTCTATTTACAGTTTGAAAACTAAGTCATAGTCCATTATAAAATGTAGTAGTGTAATATGATAAAAAAGTCATACTATAAAAAAGGTCATAACAGTGTGATAAAATTTTTTAATTTTTTCATATAAAAAAATGTCATAGTATGGTATGATAAAAATGTCAATCTTTTGTATGATAAAAATATAGTATGAGGAAGATTTCCTTATCTAATTAAAAAAAATCATAGTATAGTTTGATAAAACGTCTAGTGTAGTGTGATAAAAATTTAATTTAAGGATGAAATTAAAAGGCATAGTATTATATGATGAAAATGTAATTGAACTTTTTTTAGCATGAAAAAAATGTTTTAGTATAGCATGTGAAAAAAGTCATACTATAGTATGATAAAAATGTCATAGTATATTATGTTTAAAATGTCATGTATCATAAAATAAATCTCATAGTGTCGCATAATTAAAAATGTCATCAGTTAGTATGATTGTAAGTTAGTCTAATAAAAATTCATTTTTTAAGGTAAAAAAAATGTCAAAGTATAACAAGATAAAAATATTATAGTATAATAAAATGTCAAAGTATAACATGATAAAAATGTGGAGGTGAAACCAGAGTACTCAAAGTTATTTTGGAAACTGTATTTTCTACCTGGTCCAGATTCTCGACTGTAAACAAACATGTCCTGATAATTTTCCCTCTTTCAGTAGTTTGATGATCCTCTCCTGTTTTATTTTATATCAACCGTGTTGGAGCCGTGATTCATGTCAGTCCACTCGGTTCAACAAGCTCACCAAGGTGTGATCACTTCTCTTAAACCGCAGACTCGTGAGCAGATCTGATCTGATGCAGGTGTTAGTTTTGGGTGATCCCATCATTTTTTCCCTCTAAAAAACAGAAACTGTTTCCGAGTACCACCCTGTATTTCCTTCATTTCTTTTAGTGTTTCTTAAAACCAGAAAGTTTAAAATGACTTTAGTTTTGTTTGATTTCTGTGATCTTTTCCCCCCCGGTCTAAACCACTGAATGAACGTCCTCTCAGACCGCGGATTCCTTCATGTTTGTTCAAACGTTCAGATCTTTTCTGTGAGGATCAAACTGACCTGATGAAATCATCTTTTACATTTCTGAGTCACTGATGAAAAACCCTGATGAGGACAGAGCTGAGAACAAGTCAAACTCTGGACCGCTGTCGGTGTTTTAAAGTTAGTTCAGAACTTCAGTCTGAAGTTAAAGCGGACCCTCTGAGGGAACAGAACCCGAGTCCTGCTCAGAGAGACCTGATGGGAACAGAGACTTCGCACACAGACAGGTGGACTTTAACCTTTTTATTGTCAGAAAATCTTTGCTGCAGTTTACAGACGGCGACCGCGACGACCGCCCTTCCTCCTGGTCGAGTCTGACGGGATCGGAGTGACGTCCTCTGCAGACACCAACGAAGAAGAAAAAGGGAGAAGAAACAAAGTCAGAACAGAGGGAATCAGGTGTTCAGTCACTGAATCTTTGTCCGATGATTTTCACGTCGAGTCTCTGATCGTAGAGTTTCTTCGTTTTTACTCACCAATACGTCCGATCTTCATGCCGGAGCGAGCCAGCGCTCTGAGAGCGGACTGAGCTCCAGGACCAGGAGTCTTTGTCCTGAAACAGACCAGCTGTTAGTGTCAGCTCCACCAGTGTGTGTGTACAGACAGGTGTGTGTGTGTGTGTGTGTGTGTGTGTGTGTGTGTGTGTTACCTGTTGCCCCCGGTGGCCCTCAGCTTGATGTGTAGCGCCGTGATCCCGAGCTCTTTGCAGCGCTGAGCGACGTCCTGAGCAGCCAACATGGCGGCGTATGGAGACGACTCGTCTCTGTCCGCCTTCACCTTCATCCCACCTGTCACACGGCAGATCGTCTCCCTGGAAACACAGCAGCCAATCAGAGAGCAGGTACACACACACAGACACTTCAGTCTGACGCTTTTTAATGATTCTCTTTTTATTCCAGCCCGTGACGAGTTCAGGAACATCAGGATTTTAGAGCGATCGTGGATCAAAATGAGCAGACAGAGAGGTAAACGTTTCCATCAGTGTCGGGTCGTTTTATGTTCTGTTGATATCTGGTATTTAAGTGTGTGTGTGTGTGTGTGTGTGTGCACGTGCTCAGTGCATGAGACTTACTTCCCGGACAGGTCAGTGACGTGGACGAAGGTGTCGTTGAAGGAGGCGAAGATGTGACAAACTCCAAAGACATTTTCTCCTTCAGCCACCTGAGGACCCAGACTGATGACCTGCTCCTCCTTCTTCTCCTTCCCTTTACGAGGAGCCATCGTCTGAGGAGGAGGAGGAGGAGACATTTATTCACACGTCAGAGGGTTTAAACCGACTAAATCCAGACTAACTCCTCCTTTTTCTTCTGGTTATTTATGTTCTAACATGGAGAGACGGTGATTTGTATTTTTGTACTTTCAGCATTAAAAATGTAGTAAAATTATATTAAACTTCAATATTGAATCTAGTTTCTGATATTAAATCTCCTCTAACAGCAGCTCTGAGACCTGAGAAGGAGCAGAAAACTGCCTCCAATCTCAACACATCACTAAAAATCATCATTATTGATCCGCTCAGATATCGGTGTCACAGCTGCGTGTTCGTTTAGAAGAGCACAACATGAACAGGTGAGGCAGAGGCCGTCTAACCTGTGTGTGAATCTATGTGTGCACGTCTACGCTCTACAGTCAGGTACAGACACAGACTCTGCCGTCAGTTTCTCAGAGTTTAAATAAAAACCTGCATTAAAGTGGTTTTCATGAGCAGGAACAGAAAAGTGTCAGCGTGAAAAATTACAGGTCATAAAAAACTCTAAAACCTCCTGAAATCATTAAACAACCAAACAGCCATATGAGCAAAGAGAAGAGAAATAAAAACACATTTCTGTCCAGAACGACCTGCTGCTCCTCTCCGGAGATCTCCAGACCAGAAACGTCTCAAAGTCACAGACAAATGAATCTGGACCCAAAAACTCAACACTTCTTTAAAGGGATATTCCGGCATAAAATTAATATAACTCACCTACTCTCTTCCAGCAGACGCTTGTTTGTAGAGAGACCTCAGGCCAGTCCATTACAGACTACAGCGGGGTGCCGCAGCTCAAGGAAGAACATTTATGATAATTTCTTCATCATTTCCTTGAAGTAATAATCACCATATTGATCATTTTACAGACGCGGTAGTTCTTCTGTCTTAGCGTCTCGGTCTGATTGTATTTCCATGAAGAAATGATCATAAATGTTCTTCCTTGAGCTGCGGCACCCCGCTGTAGTCTGTAATGGACTGGCCTGAGGTCTCTCTACAAACAAGCGTCTGCTGGAAGAGAGTAGGTGAGTTGTGTTTAGTCTCTCTATAGAGTGGCGTTTTGGTTGAGGTTTGTTTAGCTGTACTATAATCCTTCTCACACACCTGAAACAGCAGTAATTATATTCAAATTTATCCTAAAAACTCTGATATTAAAACACACCTGTCCGATAATGGACCCACCGGGCTGAAAACAGTCACATGGTGGCAGATACTAACTCGTTTAATTACAAACTGTTACCTTTTAAAAACCGACATTTGTACAAGTATTTCTCTTAAGAGTCAGGCAGTAAATATCAGAGCTAAAAACCACGATAATTTTACTTTAACATCAATAATTTACTGCAGAAAGACCAACATTAGCCTGTTAGCACTAACTAACCAGCGACCACCTCTCACCACCTCTACATAAATCAACCCCACAAACTCAAAAACGACTGTAATTATCTCTCTGGACTGTGAATAATGATTAAATTTAAGTTTAATCGCTGTTTTTCCCGCTCCTTAACTCTCCACTGCAGACACAACATGGCGGCCTACCGCAGCCGCTCACAGTCCGACACAAACCGGACAGAAAAACATCATTTAATCGGTCAAACACTGCACTCAACGGGACAATTTAACGACGAACCGACACAAACACGATCACAGATTAAGTTCAGACACGTTTAAAAACAGGATGATCACCTAAAAGGCAGATAGAAATCGGATTAAACGTTGAGAAGTACCCACCTCTGTGTGTCTCTAAATGAAGCAGAAACTAGAAAGGAAAGAACTTCCGCTTCCGGGGGGCAAAGTTGAGGAGTCGCAGCGCGGGAACGAGCTGCTGCCCCCCCGCGGTGTTAGCTTAAAAAACAGTTTGTTTTGTCGATTTTATTTCCATTAAACTTAAACAACAGTTTTTGTTTAACTTAAACCGAACTTTAACTCTGTGATCTGTTCATGTTTGTGTGTAAAAATAAACGGAGGAAACTCTGAAGTTATACTTCATATACTTTATACTTTATACTGACATTTTTGTTTTTATTGCCAGTTATTATTGCTCTCATTGTTTATTAGTCTCTGCATGTAAAGGTACAGTGTCAATCAGTGTGTAGTTTGTTTATCACAACTCTCTCTGTATTATATTCAAAAGTACATTTATGTTGGTGTGTGATCGCCGGGGTGTGTCCTCCTGTTTTTTACACTGACATGTTTCTACAGAACAAATAAATGTGTTTATCAGCTGAGTGAGCGGCTGTGTGTGAAACACCAACTGGAAGAAGTTACTGACACCGTTATTTATCACCATCATTTATCATGTGTAATTTTCATCCCTCATGTATCCCACGACTTCTCCTGTTTCATACTCATTTATTTTGTGTGTGTGTGTGTGTGTGTGTGTGTATTGCGTTTTTTTAAGTTAAAACCAACCAATCAAATGTCAGCATTTGACCACCTCAGTTTATTTACAGAAACACTTTAAACACAATGCAGAAGAAGAAGAAGAAGAAGTACTTCAAAAAACTACAAAATAAAGGATTAAAAACACACACACACACACACATACACACACACACACACACACACACATACTCTCTCTATCACACACACACACACACACACACACACACACGGTTCACACTGTTACACACGGAGCATGCAGCTTCAGTTAATACAGTACAGTACAATATCCATCATAGTAGAAAAGCTGAGGGGATGTGGAGGAGCTGGTTATGGATTATCAATTATTGATTCTGCAGAGAGGGAACAGGACAGGAAACAGGAAGGGGACGCCGTGACCTTCGACCTTTGGATTACATTGTTACAGACAGGAAAACAGAACGATCGTTGGAAATATCCAGAAATGTAAACAGGTTTGGATTATTGATGGATATTTTATTGATCGATTCTGAAGTTTTCATGTCTGTCTGTGATGAAAATCTAAAGAGGACGGATCATCTGTGAGGAGCTGCAGACCCCGGCCCTTAGTTTGTTTATTATAGTTACAACAGAAAGTATCTGAGCGTAATAAAAACAGATGTATAAAATAAAACCTTCATTTAGAGCAAACAGATCATTTTAATCATGTGACTCTGAAAGACAACGGTCCAAAGTCTGGTCTGTGTCTGATGATCAGTTTTTGTGTTTTTAATGACATCTGATTAAAGTTCCACTCTGTAATGTTTTTACTCGTGTTTAAAGAAGGTGACATACTGGCTCAGTAAATATTATACTGTCACTACAGAGTTAAACCCTTTAAAGCTCCTGTGAGGAGATTTATAATATTTATATAAGAATGAAAAGATCAGCAGGAGGGGAGAGGTCTTATTTTTGTCCACGGGGGGCAGAAAGTTCCTCACAGGAGCTTTAATAGATGAATAAGTTTGAATGTCGGTGTATTTAACTCTGAACATTTCTACAGTTTGGTTTGTTCCTAAGTTCATGAGTTCAGTGGCCCTGAAGGTCAACTACACGAATAACACATCCCTGCAAAAATATTTCAGAGTTTGATTAAAGGTTTCTCTGGTAGCTCAAAAATTCTGGACAAAAATCCATGAAACACAGTTTCATAAAACCTGAAACCATAAAAACAGTAAATTTTTCAGAACCATAGATGAAACATTTTCTGATTAAAAAAAAAACTAAATAAAAAAGTTTCAGGAGATGTATTTCCAAATGATCTAAAAACAAGTTCACAAAATAAAAATTAATAAAGGAAAAAAAATGTTTGTGAAATATTTTTTGTTTAACTGAATATTATTTTATTTTCATGAAATGTTTTTGCATTTTATCAAGTTTTTTTGTGAAATGGTGGAACACTTTTGTGTTTTGCATTTAAATATTTAGTTTAAACTTTGAAAACTTTTGGAGAAGTGAAACCTTCACTGAGTGACACTTCCTGAAATGATTTGGGGTTCTGTGATATCTTTATTGTCAAATACTAAATTCATTCATGAAACTTTTTCAGCAATGAAACGTTTTAAAAGTTCAAGAAGAGTTTTTTTTTGCATCACAAAATGTTCGTACAGTCGATCCCTTAGTCATCCTTATGTCACAAAACCCCAAATCATTCCATGAAATAAAAAAAAGGGTTTTAGGACTCAATAATTGAATAAAGAAACAAAAATCTGGAAATGCAATTTTTTTTTTCACAAAACACGAGAGATAAAAATAAAAAAAGGCTTTAGTATTTAATAAAACAAAAATATTCAATAAAACCTAAAATGATCTAATAAGATAAGAAATCCACAGCCCCTCAATATTTTCATCAGCTTCTTAAAACAAATTATAAAGTCCTGAAAATTCATAAAAAGCAAAAAAGTAATATATTTATATTTTTTTAACTTTTCAAGGAATTTTTGGTTGTAATTTTTCTGCCTTTTGTGAAACACTTTCATATTTAATGTTCACAGAATTTCAGCTTCACTTGAGTCATTTTTTCTTTGTAGTCAAACTTTCTGACTTCGTGTCATTTTTGTGTCGTCGACCTTCAGGGGGCGCTGTAAAAGTGACGTTATAGTTCATTACAGAAACACATCTGAACTTTCATGAACCTCCGTTGTTGTAAATATTCAAAGATAATAAATGTCGTTTGATTCGTGTCTGATCCAAGCTGAGAGAGTTGTGTTCGCACCAAAGACTTTTTGTTTTTTAAAATCTGTTAGCTAAAAATGTTAGCACAGCTGCTAACGCTCGCATTAGCCAGATATTTTCACCTCTCCCTCGCGGTATGAATTTGTCCCGTTTTAAACATTGATTGGGGGTTCAGTTTTGAGTTCAAGTCGATTTTCTGAAGTTCAAAAACCTGAGAATCTGATTGTCACTGAGAAAAATTAATGAAAACTCAAAGGAGAGATCTGATGTCAGCTAACGACGTAGCTTTTAGCTAGTTTATACTGCAGCTAATCGCTAGCTGGTGTTAGCTAACAACGCTAACAGTCTCTGCTGTCTGTAGCTCCTCCCCCTCCTGTTTCCCAGTTCTGCAGTTTGAAACAGAGACTTCCGACCGCTCACAGCCTCAAATGAAAACATTAAACTGTCTGTCTGAGATGAAAACATGAACACAGTCATCCAGTCACTGACTGTCGGAGGTCGGAAGTCGCTGTTTTCGATTGATGAGGATAAATATGAAGCAGCCACACCCATTAAACATCCGATAAAAACAGGAAAAACATCGTAGCCTCTGTTCGTAGAATGACGAGAAATCTGCTTTACGATGAAATCTTCAGTTTCAAGCAAAAACACCAAAAGAGTTTAAAAAATGACATCTCCGATATTTGCAGGCAGCGTCTCAAAGACTTCCACCGACGATAAATCAAACTTTCAAGTGTCATAAAAGGTCAAAGGTGAGGTTTAGAAAACACGCACTAATCTACTGTAGAAAACAGCCATTCAGTCGGTACGCGGCGTTTGGCGTCCCGGCTGAAACTGACCTCGGATCGGATCGACATGAGAAGCCTGAGCAGGTTCAAGAAAACTCAAAAAGTCGACCTTGAAATGACGAGAAAAAGTTCTCGTTAATATTTTTAGTTTTTCCATTTTAATGATCGTTCCTTCAACTTATCGAAGCGTCGACCCGGTAAATGACGTTTACACGATAGTTTCAAAGTTTATTATTGTAGCTCACAGGCTCCGCCCCCTGAAGAAGTCCCGCCTTTTTACAGGTGACAAGAGTCCCACGTCATCTCTGAGAGGTTAACGGTCATTTGTAGGCCGCCATCAGCAGAACCGTCCTGAGCCGGGACGCCAAACGGCACCAAGATGTCGAGGAAAATAATGGCAGGGGGCGCTGTGCCGAACACATTCAGCGGTTGCTATGGGAACTCGTGTCACACATTATTATACTGCATTTATAATAACAAAAAAATATGCTAATAATCCACTATGTGATCTCTACAGGGTGATCCACACAAGGCCGGCACTGAATGTCTGATTCCAACATTAAAAAGCTGTAAATATACAAACGCCAGATATCGAGAATATTCATAATTATATTAATAATATCATCATCTTTGTAAGAATCTGATTGTACAAAGTTCTACATTCTCCTGACGGTAAAAAGCTGCTTACAACCTCTGAGACAAACACAACGGGTCAAAAATCGCAGAATATCAAAGACCGCTCTGTCAGCGTTTTGTTCGTTCGCGGCGAGCGGACCTCTCAGCTCCTGACGAGAAACGCTGACGAAGCCAACAACTCTAACTCAGGTCGCTGTAGCCACGAACGCGAAAACCCCGCAGAGGCCGAAGCTGAAACACAAAACACAAACTATGCATGCAGAGAATCACGTCGTCTGTACAGAAAGTAAACACCAGCACTGTAGAGGAAGAAATAGGAGCTCTCCGAACGCAACTCCAGTCAGAACGCCAACCACGTCACAACTCCGCCACGGCACCAAAACCCTCACAAAAACAGCCCAACTGAACCCGGAACCCTGAGCAGGTTCAGGGTTCGGCTCACTCACTTTCCAAAAGAGGAGATTTAATTTAATTAAAATGTTAAAGTCTGAATTTTAAGGCCCCGTTAATGAAAAACAACCAGATCTATGAGATCCGGCGCAGCAGCCGCACCACGAACGGACCGCACACCGGGGACGCCAGAGTCCTGTGGTACGGAGGCTCAGGAGAGACAAGAAGCTGCCTCGTGTTCAGATGAAGAAATAAACTCGCTGACGTCTCATTAAAGTGTTTTTGTGTCCTCTCCGATCGTTTTAGAAATAAACAGAAACTTCGCAGAACTTCACCAGAGCGCCACTTCAGAGTGGATTTATCGTGATTTTACTGTGAACATTCAGCCTCTAAAAAACACTGAAATATGACACTTTTGTCCCTCTCATGACTCCGTACAGGTGATCTCATGGTGGCGTTTGGTCCCAGGAGATGATGTACAATTGTGCTTAATTCTGATTGGCTGTCTGCTCATCTCTGCCACTTCAAATATTTATGTTGACAAACCTGTCCCCTCCTGGAAACCGATTAAATCTTTTACTCACAGTCAACCTTCCTTCCTTCCTTCCTTCCTTCCCTCCCTCCCTTCCTCCTTCTCTCAGTCCTACCGTCTTTCCTTCTATCCTTTCTTTCCTTGACCCTTCTTTTCTCCCTTCCACTCTTCCCTTGATTCCTTCTTCATTCCCTTTTCTATCCCTCCTTCCACCCTCCCCTCACTCTGTCTCCTTCCTTCCTTCCTTCCTTCCTAGGTGGACTCTCTTGATCTGAATTATTTGGTGATTGTGTAATCGTCCTGGCAGCAGACAAACAGCTCATTAAGGTTCCTTGTTAAGGCTCGTTAAGACCCCTGACAGGTGGTCTGTTGGGGGGGGGGGTGTTAATGGAAGAACTCAGGTGGGAAAACGATGGAAGATAGACGAGCTCTCTGAGCCCGACGGAAGCAGAAACAAGTGTACAAACTCGTCATTATCGACACATTCTGATCGTCTCTTAATCTAATAGATTATCTGATGTCGTTATCACATCATCTCTGCTTTATAATACAGTAATTAAAGCTGAGCTCACAATCCATTACTTTGACCCAAATATCTCCACCTCACAACACACGTCTGTTTCTGTTTGTTTCATCATTTCTTTAAAAACAATCAAAATACACAATTTAACGTCCGAACTGTAATAATTATACAGGCGTCTGCGTCTGTAAAATCATTAAACAACAACAGTATTAGAGGGTGGAGATAATGGGTCCGCTAATAATGACCGTGATGAGTAAACATGGTTTCACATTTTCTATTCTCCTCGTTTTACAGCGGTGAAAACCTCGTATCTCCAGAGCTCTCTCACTGTTCTTCTGAGGACACTGACATCTGTGAACATCGTCAGAGTCAGGAGAGAAACACTCAGATTTACATCTATTAACATCGTCAGAGTCAGGAGAGAAACACTCAGATTTACATCTGTGAACATCGTCAGAGTCAGGAGAGAAACACTCAGATTCGTCCAGATAGAGACGTCTCTGATGAGCTTTCTGCACGACTAAAGACAAATCATTTAATAACTTTGACACAGAGTCTCTCCTTATTTAAAAATGTTTATGATTTAATCCCAGGTTAATCCCTCAGATTAGATAAAGACGCCATTTTAAAGTCCACTGTGTGTGAGATTCATAACATCATTAAAATTAATGCAGAAAAGGATTTAAATCTCATTAAACATAAACTCACTCTGACACCTGTCACTGAAGTACGACATTAAACTTCACATATGTACACATATATATAGTTTAATGTATAGGTTCACAGCTTATATACATATATATATACATATATATATATATATGTATATATATATGTGTATATATATATACATATATATATATATGTATATATATATATATGTGTATATATATATATACATATATATATATGTATATATATATACATATATATATATATATATAAACTGTGTATTATATATGAAAGGTGGCGATACGAGGTTTTCACACGTTATTACAATCATTGCTGTTCAGCTGATTGGTTTATTTAAGTTGCGGAGGGGGCGTGGCTGAAATCCAGATGAGCAGAAAGAAGTAATCTGATTGGTTGGTAGTGCAGACTGCTTTCTGGCCCCTCCTCCTCCATCTTTCATCTTGTTTTTCTCGAACTAAATCCACAACGGTTGGTGTCAGATGCCTGGCCTGCTGTCAATCAATCAGTTGTCAAGGCGACGGTCGAACCTTCAAAGAAGTGCTCACTCTGGGAGTTAACTGGATGGAGAAGTGAATAATAAAGAGAAAGTAAAAACTTTTATCAATCATAAAAACAGAACTGTGACCTTTAACCTGTTAAAAACTGACCTGTTACTTCATTTACACTGAAACATGAAATGTTGAACTCAAAAAAATAACTTGTTAAACTGACCTGACCTGCATTAAACCTTTAGATATAAACGGTTAAAACTGAGCCATAAAATAATGAACTCTGACTTCACTTAACAAAGAACCTGAACTTCACCTGTAAAAGAACTTAAACATGATTAAACGGAAACTAAAACCTGTTCATGTGCCAAAAACCAAAGTTTCAAGCTGAACTTTAAACAGTTAAAAAATCACTAAAATCTGTTAAAAACAGAAAATCAGCTGTTAAAATGGACTTCAGCAAATGAAAAACTTTAACACTGTTGAAAACTGAACTGTAACCTGGTATAAACTGGACTTCACTGGTCAAAAGCTGAACTTTAACGTGTCAGAAACCGAACTGTTGAAATACAGAAAATTAAATAATAAACTGTTTAAATTAAGAGTTTAACTGATAAAAACTGATTTTCTGAACTTGGAACAAAAACTTGAGCATGTGAAAGTTTGAGTTAAAACTGATGAGTAACTTTTTAATAACTGACCTGCCACCTTTTCCTCACTGACAAAAACCTTTTAAAAGCTTAAACTCATTAATAACCGACTTAAAACCCGTAAAAAAGATTCACTGTTGATAATTGACCTTCGACATGTATCAACATTAAATGTGACCTGATGAAAACTGATGATCTTTTAGATTCACCGTTTAAAAAACTGACCGACTGAAAACTTGACCTTTGCCCTTTGCCCTGTCAAACCGATCTGGTACCTGATTCCCAGGTGACCTCTGACCTGTTCTTACTTGCTGAGAGTGGAGGGGGAGCCTGAGCGGTGGAAGTGAACGATCTGCCACTTTCCATCACGGCGATGCCACACCCTAGTCTCTTCTGATTGGGCGGTGCGAGGTGTGCCGTTGGCATCGATGTACTGCGTGACTCTGATGTAAGCGATGCAGGCGGCCTCATCGCCCACCAAGTGGATATGCGGATTCAGGATGGTGGTGTGGACCGGTTTACTGTTCTTAGACCACACTGAGGGGACACACAGATCTGTTATTTACATGACTGCAGACAGGTGGACAACTAAAGTCTATACACAACGAAAGATCTACTCACAGTTTTCAAAATAAAAGCGATGGAAGTCAAGGCCTTCCACGAGATTCCCCAACGCCTCAGGCTCAAACGCCGTCACAGCCGGGTCACACATCTTACTGTGGGAGGAGCCAAACAGTCACAGTAGGTCTTATTCAAGACGCATCATAGAGCTGAGGTCCTCACCCAGCATGAGAAATGTTCTGAACCTCACTTTGCTAGATAAACAAGAACGCAGGTGTGTGTATGTCTAATCTGACTTGTTTTTATATACCTGTGGGGACCAAGCGCTTGGAAGATAACTTATCTTGTGGGACCTTCTTGTTTTAAAGTCATCGCAAATAAAACGACTGACTGGGCAGCTGATCGGTTTTTATCGTCCTGGTTCAACAAAAATACTTCATATCAAATACCTGTGTGTGCGTGTGTGTGCGTGTGCGTGTGTGTGTGTGTGTGTGTGGTACATACGTGTAGCTCTCAAAGTCTCCATTGCTGATCGCCTCGATGAGCTGTTCTGTGACTTTAATGATGTCCTGTTTCCTCACTGAAACACACACACACACACACACACACACACACACACACACACACACACACACACACACACACACACACACACACAGTTTAGTATCATGGTCGTATCTCTCAGTTTTAATTTGTACTTCAGCTGAAGTTTCTTTATGTTTCTGAATGCCTGTCAATCACTGATGAATAATAATATAAACAGTGTGTCTTTGTGTGTGTGTGTGTGCGTGTGTGTGTGTGTGTGTGTGTACCTCTGGTATCCTCGTCCTCTATGGTGGTGTTCGTGCTTTCAGATGACTCCTACAAACAACATGAGCGTCAGTCAGTTTGATGATTCATGTCGATATTTCCTGCTGCTGAACTCGCTCTGATCCTCAGAAACTCTCTGACAGGTGTGGATAAAAACACCTGGATATGATGTCAGAGCTCGCTGCCCTCACACGCCTCCATCATAATGATTTAGACACTGTGAGGTTTGTTTATCTGCAGGACCAACCCTTCTGCACGTGCTCAGGAGGTCACACACTCTGCACATAAACCAGGAAGTTAGTTTTTAACTCGCACCCTTGTAACTCACACTGGACTGACCATCAAACTTGGATCACATCAGCGAGAACTACGAACGAAACTGAACAGATCTAAATAAGAGTCTGCAGATCTGAGAGGCTAACGTTAGCATGCTAACACGACAACAACGACGGTGTAAAGCAGATATTGACTGTGTTTAGCATGTTAGCATTCCAATATTTATTATTATCATAATAACCTTTATTTAACCGGGTTTGTCCCGTTGAGATCATGAATCTCTTTGTTAGAGGATGTCCGCTCACACAGTTTCAGTTCATAATCACAGTAATCAGACAGAATACAAAGAATTATTGAATTTTCAAAATTAGTTCAAAGAATGTTTGTTGAACGTTTGCACTAAAATAAAACAGTTTCACTCCTGGATATAACGAAGTTTATTAGAAAACATTCAGAGAAAAAGACTTTAGAGTTTCATCCCAACATCGGCAGTAAAAACGACAATAAACTAACAAACAATAATCATGATCTCACCTTGACTCCGTCTGCCTTCTTGTTGCTCCCGCTCTTCCCTCCTGAACGAGGGATGAGGACAAAGAGAAGAAGAAGCAGCAGAGTGAGAAAGAAAGGAACAAACGCAGAGAAGAGGAGGGACGGCATCGTGCCGACAACCTCTGCCTCAGAGCCCCGCAGCAAACACCCCACAGCCCAGAGACGGACGGGACAAACCCGGACGAGAAGACTAAAAAATAAAGTGATTCTTCAAACCAACAGAAAGAAAAGAAGTGAAAAAGAAAGGAAGTTAAAAAGAAAAGAAGTTAAAAAGAAAAGAAGTTAAAAAGAAAAGAAATTAAAAAGGTGCAGAAAGTAAAACGTGTCGAATGAAAGTGAAAGTCCGACTTTAGTCTGAAAAATGATGAAAAGAAGAGAGTCCAGCTCTGCTCCTGTCAGTCTCTGAGTGAGCAGACGGACAGACGGACAGACGGACAGACGGACAGCTGTTTGAGACCTGCAGGAGAGGAACAGACGGACAGACGGACAGACGGACAGACGGACAGCTGTTTGAGACCTGCAGGAGAGGAACAGACAGACAGACGGACGGACGGGGGAGGGTGGGGGAGGTCTCAGCGTGTCGTGTGGGTCACTCAGAGTGTGGAGGTTAAATTTAGTCGGTGCTGCAGATCGTTGGAGAGTCAGAAACACATTCCTGCTGACAAACAGACGAGGCCCCGGGGCCACAGAGCAGGAGCCCCTATCAGCTGTCACACACACACACACACACACACACACACACACACACACACACACACACACACACACACACACACACTCACACACACACACACACACACACACACACACACATACACACACACACTCACACACACACACTCACACACACACACACACACACACACACACAATAAAAAAAATATATTCTCATGTCAAAGTGGGACAAGTCAGGACCACATCAGTCCAGGACTTTTCTCCTACAGAACCATGCTGGTGTCAGAATGAGGTTCTGGATCATATGAAGGTCTGGATGGACGCAGATGTTGGTCCTAAACCTGGAGATGTTCTTTAAAACTGAGGATGCAGCATCTATGATTTACAGTTCTTCGTTGAAAGGACATCTGGACTTAACTGAGACTGAGGCGAAACAGGGGGATTCCCAGGAGAGAGATCTAAACCCTCCACCTGGTCCACGAGGTCTCCTCCCGGTGGGACATGTCTAGAACACCTCTAACGGGAGGCGTCCAGAAGGCGTCCTAACACCTCAGCTGACTCCTCTGGACGTGGAGGAGCAGCGGTTCTCCTCTGAGCTCCTCCCGAGTGTCCGAGCTCCTTCCCCTATCTCTAAGGCTGAGCCCGGACACCCTGAGGAGGAAACCCATTTCAGCCGCTTATATCTGCGATCTTGTTCTTTCGGTCATTACCCAAAGTTCATGACCATAGGTGAGGATCGGCACGTAGATCGACCGGTAAATCCAGAGTCGACTGATCGGTTAAGCGTCCGCATCACTGCTGACGCCACTCCGATCCGCCCGTCGCAGAGACTAATCATTTATGTAACATGAGATAAAAGGAGATAAAAATGATGTTCAACTAAAACTCTGCTGTCTCTGCGTCTGTTTTCTCCACCGCTCCAAGGATGACCCGATGGTTATTCACGTTAGATTCCTCGCTCGGTCACATGTCCTCTCTGACTCCGCCCTCTCTTCTGTCTTGTGGCGAGCAGAAGTGTTTTTTTTGCGTCCTTCTCCATCACAGCTCCTGTAGCTAAGCTGCTACTGTTAGCCGCTCAGAGCTCCGAGGAGGGCCGGGAGAGTGGGAGGGGACGAGTCGGAACTACGGGAGAGGGGTGTGTCCAATACAGCGAGGTGATTGGATGGAGAGGCGGAGCAGGAGATTGACCAATAGGAGCTGTCGGGGACGGATGGCTCCTATTGGTCAATGTTTTTACAGCCCTGCTCCTGATAGGGTGAACTGATTTTTTCCGATCTTTTTTCTCTTTGTGGAGATCGCACTGTAGGACCATGATCGCCATGGAAACGAGGTTCATAATAATCACCGATCTCTCCAATCGTCATCCAGGACTTTAATAAAAACACAAAAACATTTTCAGTTTCTGTCTCTACATACACATCTTCATCTATGTACACACACACACACACACACACACACACACACACACACACACACACACACACCCCCCCCCCCCCTCTCTGTCGGTGGTTTCCTGTCTATCTATAGTTCGGTGTGTTTGAAACTTGGTGACAGCTGCTGACACACACACACACACACACACACACACACACACACACACACACACACACACACACACACACACACACACACACAGTGTTAACCTGTTAATTGTGTGTGAGCCTGCAGCTGATTGGTTGATCTCTGAAAGTGTAACCCTCTGCTACTGTAGGTCAAAGGTCAAACTAAGAGATCACATGACTTAGTTAAAGTCGTCTGTCTCACCTGAAAAGTTCCTGGTGGCCAACATGGTGGTGAGGATGGCTCCCTGTAGGAGAGGAAACAAGGACACAAGGATAGGAAATAAGGACACAGAGGAGGATCCTATCAGATTGATCCGTTCTCATCAATTCCTCATAGTCTCAGTGTGTCTGCTCTGAATGAACATGGACTGCAGTTCTGTCTCTGACCTGCAGGTGGAGCCACAGGTGAGAAAAGAAGGACTATCTCTGATGTGAACAGATGTGAGCTCGATTTACACACTAACTATCAAAGTTCCATCAGCGTCTCCATGGTTACTGATGATCAGTGATGAGCTGATTAAAGGTGTTGTAATCAGGATCTGAGTCAGTTTCAGTTTTTAGGAGAAAGCGTCCGCCATCATCGTTTATGTTGACCCGTCTTTTTAGCTCTTGTCCGGTCTACCTCCGTTTTAAGCGCCCGTTATTCCTCCAGAGTCTCCGGTATTTACTTTGTTTTCTTGCTTGTGTCGGCAGTCGTGGCCAAAGGAGGATTCAGACAATTTTCCGAACTTTCTGGTTGGTTTCTACTGTCCGATATTGTAGCACGCTAACTTTGTTTGGGCTCCTGAACGACACGGGGGAGCAGCGTCTGCCTCACAACCAATCAGGTTAGAGGAGGTGGAGAACGGCTTTGTTTACAGTCAGAAAGAGCGGACCGCTCAAAAATGTTCAAATGTTGACGACACAGACAGAAGAGAACACAGAGATATCGATATATTACCAAATAATCAATAACTAATAACTATTGACTGATATTAGAAGAGTTTTTGTTTATAAACAAAAATAAACAGTTTTCTGCTGACCCCGCCTTTAACCATGTGACTGTAAACACGTCAGTGATGTCACACTTTAAGGGGCAAACACACGGAGCCCCTGAACGAAAGTAAACAGTACCCGACCTTTAACCTCTGACCTACCTTCAGTTTCCTCCTGGCGTTGAACTTCTTTAGGCACTCGACCGTCTCCTGTCTGTGCATACATGACGCCACCGTGGAGCGGTGCTGGAGGAACAAAAACATCATCATCATCATCATCATCTTTCAAAAGGTATAAAGTGACCATAATAGAGAAGGGGGCGGAGCCTCACAGAGATCCAGGGGTGTTTGAGCGCCTCGGCCGCAGTGATCCTTTTGGACGGATTGATGGTCAGCATCTTATTGATGAGATCTTTGGCTTCAGGAGTCACGGTGTCCCACTCAGGAGAGGGAAACTACCGAGGGGGGGAGGGGCAACGAACAAAGTGAGGCAGTTTTCAAAACTTCAGCAACAACAAGCGTCTGACCCCCAACTTTCACCGCATACAGAATGGCGGCAATTTTCGCCGTCCCCCAATTCCCACCAGATCCATTTATGAGGCGAATTTCATGGCGGATTACAGACAGCGGTAATCGTGAGAACTCACAAGAACCCGCAGATTCACGTTCAATCTCTCGATAACGAGTTGTCTCTCTAAAGACAGACACATAGACATATAAGCAGTAGATGGTGTCCTTCCAGAGGAGGAAATCTACTTCTAGACTTCTAGAATCAGCATCTCCTCATCCATGGTGTCATCGGGGTGAAATGACGTCTAAAAACCTTTCACTTGTTCGTCTCCGCCCGTTTGCATGGTGTGAAATACGATCCTCCTGAAACACGGAGTGTTTTATTTTGAAAAGAAGCCGGATGTTTTATTTTGAAGTCTGTGCCCGACTTCCTTTCCAGCACGGGTTCATCTGTGCTGAATTTATCCGCCATGCTCCGGCGTCCAGAAAAAATAGAACTCTTGTGATCAGCTGAGGAGTCCGGCGATCCGCAGAGGAACGGAAAGAAGTCGGTGTAAATTGACACGTTAACTTGAATGGTTACGATCAGCTACGATCGGAGGATACGACCTTTTAGGAGACGATCAGGATGAAGGTGGAGGTCGGGGGTCAGTCAATCAATCATTCAATTTTCATTGACACTTTCCAAAACAGCAGGTCCCGCCCTAAAGATACATCCTGACCAATGGCTGAACTCGGTCCTAATCAACAGGTAACCAACCTGCGGTCATGTGACCTACGTCATAAGCTCCGGCTTTGATCTGCTGGTAGAGACGATGTTGATCTTCATCCCAGAAAGGAGGATAACCGACCAGCAGGATGTAGAGAATCACACCTGAGAGAGAGAGGACAGGTGCAGTTGAGAGGAGACAGGAAACAAGGAAACAAGGGACCGTGTGAGGAAGGAGGAGAAGGAAGCAGAAAAGAAACAGACCGCAGGCCCAGAGGTCGACAGCTTTCCCGTACGGATCCTTCCTCAGAACCTCCGGAGAGAGATAACCAGGAGTCCCCGCGAAGCCTGAGGAGTAACACACGATAAACACGCAGTACTAATACTACAGTATTACCACAGTACTAATACTACAGTATCACTGCAGTACTAATACTACAGTATTACCACAGTACCACTGCAGTACTAATACTACAGTATTACCACAGTACCAGCAGTACTAATACTACAGTATTACCACAGTACCACTGCAGTACTTATACTACAGTATTACCACAGTACCACTGCAGTACCAGCAGTACTAATACTACAGTATTACCACAGTACTACTGCAGTACTAATACTACAGTAATACCACAGTACCACTGCAGTACTAATACTACAGTATTACCACGGTACCACTGCAGTACTAATACTACAGTATTACCACAGTACCACTGCAGTACTAATACTACAGTATTACCACAGTACCACTGCAGTACTAATACTACAGTATTACCAAAGTACCACTGCAGTACTAATACTACAGTATAACCACAGTACCACTGCAGTACTAATACTACAGTATTACCAAAGTACCACTGCAGTACTAATACTACAGTATAACCACAGTACCACTGCAGTACTTATACTACAGTATTACCACAGTACCACTGCAGTACCAGCAGTACTAATACTACAGTATTACCACAGTACTACTGCAGTACTAATACTACAGTAATACCACAGTACCACTGCAGTACTAATACTACAGTATTACCACAGTACCACTGCAGTACTAATACTACAGTATTACCACAGTACCGCTGCAGTACTAATACTACAGTATTACCACAGTACTACTGCAGTACTAATACTACAGTATCACCACAGTACCGCTGCAGTACTAATACTACAGTATTACCACAGTACTACTGCAGTACTAATACTACAGTATTACCACAGTACTACTGCAGTACTAATACTACAGTATTACCACAGTACCACTGCAGTACTAATACTACAGTATTACCACAGTACCACTGCAGTACTAATACTACAGTATTACCACAGTACCACTGCAGTACCAGTATCCACTCACCAAACCAGGCCTGCTGGTCTCCCTCCACCTCGATGGCGAGTCCAAAGTCGGCCAGTTTGACGGCGGCTCCTTTAGACTTGGAGGCCAGGAGCAGGTTCTCCGGCTGCAAACACAGAGGAGATGCTAACATGCTAACATGCTAAGGACACCGCTCATTGGTTTACACGAAGTTAAAATGCTAGCTTAGCCAACTGGTTTACATGGAGTATGCTAACATGCTAACCTAATTAACATGATGCTAAGTTACAAACTCGTCCGATTGGTTGATTCTGAGGATGCTAACGCTGCGTACTCGTTTACATTTTAGATGCTAACACCTTTAGCCACACCCTCCAGGGGGCGATATTTTTTTTCATAGGATGGTAGGGGAAGGTCCCGCCTCCTTCGCCTCTGATTGGCTGTGAAACGTCGTCACACGCTCAAGCCGAGCGCGGGCCGTCAGCTCTGTACATCGAACAGAACATTACAGAATATTATCGCACCTCTGAATCTCCAAACCCGACAGATGATTTCACAGCCATTAGGATTAACCAATCGTTATTCCTTCTAGCCAATCAGAGGCGAAGGAGGGCGGGACCTTCCCCCTACCATCCTATAAAAAAAAAATCCTTCCTCCAGAGATGTCGTCGTTTCTTCTCCGTGACCAGGTGAGAGAAAAACCTCACCTGTGGTCATCTTCATCTGACTTCACACCTGAAGGTAAGCGGACAGGTACCTTAAGGTCCCGGTGGACCACGCCCATCTGGTGACAGTGAAGCACCGCCTCCAGAATCTGCTGAATACAGTGGCTGTGGACAGAGGTCAGAGGTCACATGACTATGACGTGAGGAGTGTGTGTGTGTGTGTGTGTTTGTGTGTGTGTGTGTGTGTGTGTGTATGTGTGTACCTGGCGTCAGCTTCACTGTAATATTCTCTCGCTACAATATCTTCAAATAACTCTCCACCTGTTACCCTGGAGACGAGAAACAGGAAACACTTCGTCAACGACGTCAAAGTCGACCAACAACGCAACAGGAAACAACAGGAAACAACACAACAAGCAACAACGCAACAACACAACAACAGGAAACGCAACAGGAAACAACAGGAAACAACAGGAAACAACACAACAACCAACAACGCAACAGGAAACAACAGGAAACAACAGGAAACAACACAAGAAGCAACAACGCAACAGGAAACAACAGGAAACAACGCAACAGGAAACAACAGGAAAGGCAACAGGAAACAACGCAACAACGCAGCAGGAAACAACAGAAAAAAAAACACAACAACCAACAATGCAACAGGAAACAACAGGAAACAACGCAACAGGAAACAACACAACAACCAACAACGCAACAACCAACAACGCAACAGGAAACAACAGGAAACAACGCAACAACCAACAACGCAACAGGAAACAACAGGAAACAACACAACAACCAACAACGCAACAACCAACAGGAAACAACACAACAACGCAACAACAACAACGCAACAGGAAACAAAGCAACAACCAACAGGAAACAACAGGAAACAACCAACAACGCAACAACCAACAGGAAACAACACAACAACGCAACAACCAACACAGGAAACAACAGGAAACAACAGGAAACAACAGGAAACAACGCAACAAACACAGTAATAACCTGACACAATGGTGTTAGCGATAACGGCACACTGAGGTTAGGAGTTCGGAGTTTTTACTGTATGAGAATAAAAATTATGACTTTAATTTATGATTTTAAATTTATCACTTTAAAAATTTTGACTTTCAAAAATAAACGTGTTGATAAAAAAATTGTAATAATTCTAATAATCAATTTAATTCTGTGATTGATTAGTATTTAAAACTGAAGGGGGAGATCTGAGAGCAGCCGTCTGCTCACACTAAAAGAATGAATAAAATCATAAAATGCAGGTTTTAAATCTTTATTTTGTTTTTATAATGATGAGAATTTAATCAGTAAAACACATGAAGAAGAAACCAGCAGGTTCACCTGAGCACAGGTGAGAAAACAGAGAGGGGAGAGAGAGAGAGAGAGAGAGAGACTCACAGGTCAAAGATGAGGTAATGATGAGCCTCCTCTGAAATACTGTCATGGAGCCGGACTGAGGGGGGGAGGGAGAGTGGGAGAGAGGAAGGGAGGGAGAGGGAGGAAGGGAGGGAGGAAGGGAGGGAGGGGGGAGGGGAAGAAGGAAGGAAGGAAAGAAAAGAAGTTAGTTTCTAACCCCGGTGTTCTGTGAGTGTGAAGCCAAAGAACCGGGTCCTAAGTTCTGACTCCTCCATGTAAACAGATGGGACATGGGTCAGACTGTCAAATCTAGATCCAGATCAGATAGAAGCTCCTCAGACATGTTTCAGTTTTCATAGAGTTAAAAACAGACAGAATAACTTCACAGTGTCGATTATTCTGAAAACACACGTTTACAACTCCATGATTGACAGCTCTGTGAGCCAATCAAACTGTCTGTCTCAGTTCTTTATGTACTTCAGTACTTTAACTGAGGTATAGTACATGTTAGTATGGTAACTGTACAAGTGCTGTGACGGTGTGTATAAGTACTGTGACAGTGTGTACAAGTACTGTTATAGTGTGTACAAGTACTGTTACAGTGTGTATAAGTACTGTTACAGTGTGTATAAGTACTGTGACAGTGTGTATAAGTACTGTTACTGTGTGTATAAGTACTGTTACTGTGTGTATAAGTACTGTGACAGTGTGTATAAGTACTGTGACAGTGTGTATAAGTACTATTACTGTGTGTATAAGTACTGTTACTGTGTGTATAAGTACTGTGACAGTGTGTATAAGTACTGTGACAGTGTGTATAAGTACTATTACTGTGTGTATAAGTACTGTTACTGTGTGTATAAGTACTATTACTGTGTGTATAAGTACTGTTACTGTGTGTATAAGTACTGTGACAGTGTGTATAAGTACTGTGACAGTGTGTATAAGTACTATTACTGTGTGTATAAGTACTGTTACTGTGTGTATAAGTACTGTGACAGTGTGTATAAGTACTGTTACAGTGTGTACAAGTACTGTTACAGTGTGTACAAGTACTGTTACTGTGTGTATAAGTACTGTTACTGTGTGTATAAGTACTGTGACAGTGTGTATAAGTACTGTTACTGTGTGTATAAGTACTGTTACAGTGTGTATAAGTACTGTGACAGTGTGTATAAGTACTGTGACAGTGTGTATAAGTACTGTTACTGCAGTATGATCTGTAAGTACTTGATGCAGAGAGGATGATGATGATGATGATGATGAAGAAGAAAAGTCGTCGGAGTGTGTCTGTTCCTGCTCTCTGCATTGATTGTATAATAGGATATATAACAAGAGGAGAGAGAGGCTGCACACACACACACACACACACACACGTGCGTGCACACACACACACACACACACACACACACACACTCACACACACACAGAACAGATCCCACTGCTGCACTGAGTGGGAGTGTTTGAGAGAAAAAACCTGATTATTTCTTTCTGAGTGCTTTCTCACAGGTATGTGTGTGTGTCTCTGTGTGTGTGTGTGTGTGTGTGTAGTGAGGTGTGTGTAGGAGGAGGAGAGAGGGTTTTGATGCCTTCACCTTAGGACAGTGTTTCCTAGCAACACACACACTCACACACTCACTCACTCACACACACACACTCAGAGTTATGTAACACTCCTCAGTATCTGCAGAGCATCACCTGCCCACACAGCGTTCTGATTGGAGGCTCAGCTCAGCTGCTGGCTGCTGATTGGCTGTTGAGTCCACGTGAGGTCACATTTGAACACCTGACTGACTCTGGATCAGCGAGTTTGACTTTAATAATTAAAGTTTGTTTATGATCACATGTTCAGTCTGATCCCAAACCCCTTTAGCGCTTTTATTGTGAAAGGTCCCAGGAAGTGTCCCAGCAGAGGTTCGGGTTTTGGACGGGCCGGTTTGATTCTGACAGTCTGTTCTGGATCAAACATGGACACTGAGACCCTGATACTGAGTCACTGAAGACCATCAGACGTGGACCTGACAGAGCCGGACTCTGGACTGACCTGAGACCCGGTCCTGAGGAGAACATCTCCAGAACCTCTGTTTCTGTTTCAGGTTCTTACTCCTCATCTCTCCTCACTGGGGTTTCCGTAGCGCCCCCTGTCGGTCCCTCTCAGTGCTGTTTGTCTCGGTTTTATTCGGACCATCTCTCACGAGTTCGGACCGTGTTTCGCCGTCGTGGTCGTGGTTTTGATCAGTAACAGAAACAGAAGCTCCAGGTATATCAGGTTTTTATGTTTTGCATTTGTCCACCAGGGGTCACTGTTTGATTCGTTATTATTCTGTTTTTATTGAGGTTTTGTGATTTTAACTCTTAGCTCTGGACGTCAAACTGTCCGTGTGTCAGTCCGATCACATGGGTCTGAGGTCAGCTTTGTTTCCATGTTTATCTCCTTTTCTTTCTGTACTTCCTGTCAGGATTCATCGTCACGCCGTCTGCTGAAGCGTTCGTCTGTCTTTTATCGGGAGTTTGCTCCCCGCCGCTCTGAGATCAGGTCTGTTTTCACGGGTTTAAAGCTCCTGCTGGTCCTCGCTCATCAGACTCGTCTCAGTCCCCCAGGATCAGCTGATTGGACCCGGGTCTCTCTGACAGGTTCTGCGGGTTCATCACTAACAGCAGCCGTTAAATCTGTGAAGATAACAGCTGTAGTAGTTTTTCACCTGTGAGTCTCTGCTGCTGTTTCTGTTTCTCTCTCTGTCTGTCTGCGGAGTTCAAAGAGACGCTGAGAGAGTGAATTATTCATTCAGCTGTTCTCCTCTCTCTCTCTCTCTCTCTCTCTCTCTCTCTCTCTCTCTCTCTCTCTCTCTCTCTCTCTCTCTCTGTCAACATGAAACGCTCTCAGCTCTCAAACACTGAAGCCGCTGATCCCTCACAGACGCACAGCTCCAACCATCTGGGTAAAACCCCGAGAAAGAGGCCCAGATCTGCAGCCCGGTCCTGAGTCTAAGAGCAGGTTTGGTCTTGTTAAACAGATGAAGCTCAGCCCTCTGATTGAAACCATGAATGTAAATCTGTGAAGAGCCTCTGAAAACCTGCCTCTCCTCCTGACAGATCGCACAACACTCAGTCTGTTCTGCATCCTCTTAAAGCACGACTCAGTTTGATCCTTTCAGCTGTAAAAAATAAAATCCTGCTGCTGCTGCTGCTGCTGCTGCTGCCTTCACATTCTGCCCACAAGCTTCATCTGCACACAGCCGACACGTCTCCGCTTCACAGAGAGCTGCAGGAACTCAGGGAGCGACGGGGACGCAGAGAAAACCACCGAGAACAACAGAGTCATACCGAGACAATCGGCTCCTTTAAAATGCTCAACAAAACCTCATTCAAAAAAGCATCGATTTAAAGGGCCACCTTTGTCTTCTTAAAAACTAGTCCTGTTAAGTTCAGACTTTGACACGTCAGGATCCTGATGGAGTTCAGTCTGTTCTCTGGGACTCGCCCACAGTCTCATAGAGCTGCAGTAAGATAGATGTCAGTCCACTAACTGTGAGTGAAACCGAGATACACAGAGGACAGACGCAGTGAAACTGAGACTCAGCGAAGATAAAGTGAAACTGAGACTAAAAAACAGACATAGTGAAACGTCAGCTCAGTGAGGACACAGTGAAACTGAGACCATGTGACAACAGAGACCTTAGAAATGAGCTGAAGGAAAGCCAAAGGAAGTGAGGTTAGGACTTGGTTTGGACAGTTACAGTAAAACAGAGACTCAGTGGAGAAGATTACAATGAAGTTCAACTAAACAAAAACAGTTACCACGAAACTGAGATTTTGAAAAGCCACATATGGTGAAACTGAGACTCAGGGAGACAGATACGATGAAACTGAGACCAGGTTTGGACAGGAAGAGTAAAACCTAGAGCAGAAGGAAAGAGGTGCAGAGAAACTGAGACCTAGAGGAGGTGATTACAGTGAAACTGAGACCTAGAGGAGGTGATTACAGTGAAACTGAGACTCAGCTGGAAGAGAACAACTATGGTCTGTGTCTACAGGAGATATTCTGTTATTTTCACAATAATCGATCAATAATCTGATCAATAATCTGATCGATAATCTGATCAATAATCTGATCAATCCTTTTGTTAAAGTGTCATGAAGTCTTTTGTCATAGACTCAGTTGACCTCAGTCCTCTCCTGTCTACAGTCCTACAGTGACTCTGGTTCTAGAGAGGACCGGTTCTGTGGTCTTTGTCGGGATCGTTGGTTCGGATGTTTTTCAGTTTTCAGGGTTCGGACGTCGGCGCCGACACGAGCACTTCCTGTTCGGCTCTGTAATGACTCAAACACAGTTTCAGTCTGTGACTCAGTTCTGGTTTTACTCAAGTGTCAACCTCTTTCATGAAGAGTGAAGCCGGTCCAAAAGAGCTCTGTAGTTCCTCCAGTGTCCACTAGAGGCCGTGTCCAGCAGTGAGTCAGTCCCTATAGAGCCCCGTGTTAGAGATAAACCGGGTTACAGTCTAAACAGAACTGATCCAGGGTCAGCCGTCCGTGTTCAATCATGTCTGTTCAGTGAGGATGTTGTTGTAGTATTAGTACCTTCAGCAGTGACAGTAGTACTTTCAGTGACATGTGAGGCAGCAGTACAGTTGTACAGGCAGTACTCCGTAAATGACTGCAGGATGAGGTAGAAGTACTCACCGATGTTTGGGTGCTTCAGTAAACGACAGATCCGAGCTTCACGGTCCAACTTTTGATGATCTGTAAACAAACAAACAAACAAACAAACAAACAAAAACTTAGTATTTGAGAATCTAATAAGACGATAAATGAAGACGATTTAAATTTAAAGGTTTGAAAACATGAAAAGACAAAAATCTGAGAGTCTGAATGATGAACCAAGTACAAGCCTGCAGGATGAAAATCACCGACATAATCTTTAGATAAAATAATCTAATCCATGTGGTCATCAGGCTACACAAGTTTACGTTCCACACAAATGGGGGTGTGGCTAATTTGGCAAACAGGAAGTGCCATTGGACAAGAGCTGCACACTCAGTTCGTTTACAGTCTCAGTTTAATCGGACTAACCTCATAACTCGTCTGTCTCTCTGAATCAGACTTCTCTCCTCGTCCTCGTTTACATGCAGCTGAGAAAACTGAATTATTGACATGAACGTGTCCTCCTCCCCAACACTAGGGGGCGATATGGGTCTTTTCAGCGGCGCTGTTTCCGACCCCATCCAACCGTCAACAACAACAGCAGGTCGGTGTCAGACGTCAGAAGTGTCTACAACTGCTGCTGGGCATTTTGGAGAAACAAGAAGATGGAGCATCGTACAGCGTTGTTTTTGTCCGACATGATGGACGCGCTACTTTTTCTAAAGAGGAGACCAACGCTACTCCTCTACTCTGGGGGTTTGTTACGGGGTTAAAGGGGGCGTGGCCAATCATACGCCGACTACGCTGGTTACATGGTAGAGAAAATCTAATTCCAAACTCAGATTATAGTCACACTAAAGTGTTTACGTGACCTTCAGTTGTCCGCTCTTAATCGGAATAAGGCGATAATTCGGTTTTCTCAGTTGTCATGGAAACAGACTGACTGTAGTTGTTCACACTGAAGACAAACAAACATGAAAACTTCAAGTCAAAGTTTGATCAGCAGGGCCGCACACGGAGGAGCCAATCACAGGCTCAGTT